AAAAAAGTTAGTACACCGGTACATGTACATGCGCATACGGGTACTCATGATTTTCTGTCATTCACAAAACAAAACCACATAACAATTAGACACAGGTAATTAAAAATCTTCATAAAATGTACATGTATACAAAGGACAAGTTCATAGTACAGCACTTTTGATGATACTTCTCATGTATATCTGTGCAGCAGCCAGATTGCTGACGGTACTGGACATGTACATGTTCCCCTCTCTCCTTTTCCCTTGTTTTTACATTCACGATTCCTTCAAACTACTGAAATGTAGCACAATGTTCACTTGATCCTATTTCCAGTATGAAAAACCAACTGTAGGCCAACCGCTCTCTTGGTTTCTTCTCAGCGAGCTGCAAGCTCGCATTCAAAGGCTCGCCCCTGCCCTGTTTAAGATTGAAACGCCATATTGAAACGTATATACCTGTACGTGTACATGTACGTGTCATCTGGTCAGCGGTTCACAAGAAGCCTAGTCTATTACTGGCACAGTGGGTCCAGATAAAACCACGGCAAAGCTGTACACATGAGCAGCATGATCAAGGTCACGACATGCAAGGCAAATCACACAATCACGGAGTATGTTTTCCTCATGTACATGTATGGTTCTGTTACACTGTCCCATCTGTTGTGTTGATTAATTGTTAAGCAACCCTGGTGTCTTTTGCTGAAGACAGATTTTCTGTCTAGTTTGTTTTTTAATGATTTTTTGTCGGTCTTTCCAACTTGCCAATACACGGTGTCTTGGCACTTTCCACAAGGGAGAAACACAGAATTCAGAATGATCAGTTGGGACTCAAACCCACAACCTCCTTCTCTCAACATTTCAGCGACACAAATATGGCATTAACCCTAACAGTCCTCAGTCCTCCAACAGGTGAGGGATTGAGGACTGTTAGGGTTAACAGTCAAAACTTCCTTATTAGAACTTTTAGCATTTTAATCTGAGATTCTGTGCAGAATGTTGAAAACACATATTTTACATGTAGGAAGATCGCTCTGGAATCTTTCAGGCCAAGTGAACTTAACGAACCAAGGCTTTCGACGGAGCTCATTTTCAGGGCGAACAAGTTGGAGAACAGTTAGCCTTTGTCAACTTTGTACCTGAATGGTACTCTCATAATTCATGATAATCAATCTAAAATTTTATTTGGACAACGTGCAATCCTGTGAACTCGTAAAGCTATTTCCTGGCTTGTAAATGGTACAGAGAGCTAGTCCAAGAGGTAAATGTACCTAACAATACAAAAGTATCTTGTATAACAAAGTTCTTCAATATCAAAGAATATTAACTTGCATTGTACATGTATTCATCGTAAGTTTGACATTCAAAATATCAATTGTGAACACCACAACTTCAGGATTAATGGACAATGCACTACAATAGTCTTTCTCCAATTCAGCAGAGCTTGACATTACTTTGTCAGTTCGGAATGCTGTGTACACGTATCCATGGTACATTTGTTTTGTTTTGTCAATGTGTACGAACCTGTACATGCATGTGTAGTTCTTGGACAGGTACATACATGTATAATTGAAAGGCAAGTTGACTCAGCCTTTACATGGACTTTAAAGTGAGTGAATGAACAGGACTGATTTCCTAAAGACTGGGGCAAAGTGTAAGGATTATCAAAAAATGGCACCAAAAGAGTCCAGGAAATAGTTTGGAGGGGTGAATCATTCGGCTTTGCATGATCATGTATTATCCACCAGGCTGAGAGATTGTTTGAAATCCATTTTGTGCTCATCCATTGATGAACTTTTATTGGATTGCTTCTCCTTGTCTGTTTCAATGATCAAAACTTTTCCTACAGTATGGAAATTGCCCCAGCTTGTCCTGCCGGCATGTTCCAGCGAGTCGTCACCAGTCGGCGACACTGTAAGTGTAACAAGGTGAACCGGTTTCAACAAATGACTCATTAGGACCCGGGCAAACATTCAGTCGAGCAGACAGACACTCGGCCGTTTTAAAATTAAATACTTCCACCGGGTGACAACTGCCAGCAATTTGCACTAATTACCGAAGACACTTCATCGGCGTTAGTCATAGATGACTGGCTCGGTGGTCAGAATATTATTTGATGCAGAGCATAAAAAAAAAGCACACCGACACAAAAACTAATGCCTTGGAAACAATGACCGAGTGCTGCAGTTGATACACCAAATGATGCATGACTTTTAAGTATCTTCCCACTGTCTGGAATTTGGCAGTAAATTTACATTGCAACATAGTCTTACTCTGTGTGAGGAGGCCTGAATTGGTTTTCATTTTACATGTTACCTTCCGAACAACTCCTATAATAAAAAGAAAGGGGAAACATGTCTTGTCTGGCTGACAGCACAGCCGTGTTCCTGCAAGTCCACATCTTCCGACATATACATCATGCCGAAGTGGGAAAGCCGTTGGCTTTCATTTTGCGAGGAACACTCGTTCTCTAAATGCCTTAGCTAACACAGCATCTTGGCTTACGTCCATGAAATTTAGTTGAAAGAGACTTTAGAAAGGGGTGATTACTTTCAGGCACACTAAGAAGAAGGCAAACAAAAATAACGAGATCTACAGCAGTTAAAAGTTAAAAACTGTAACAAGTACATGTGTATGTATGTACAACTGTAAAGAAGTGCAGTGGAATCACACTGGACTGACTCGAGCCGAACCAATATACGCTTACCCATGAATAAGAGCTAGGGGTGCATTCGTCATCAAGCAGTTCAATAAAATGCACTGAAACTCACAATCACTGTACATGTACATGTGCAGACTTACCGGAAATCACAGGGTTATGATCCAATTAGCAATCAGAGCAGAGACAAACACTGATGAGATGACTCTTAAAAATGTCCACAAGAAGAAAAAAACGAAAAGAAAAAAAACAAAAAAAAGCAACGTTGCACCAAAGTCCCGTCCCACGCTCTCAGAGGGATACTGATACAATGACTGCAGGTTTTCTAAATGATTTGCCAGGCAGGTTGCCCTCCCTGGCCAAGACAGTAGTTAGCAATGGCCAAAACTTGCCCGGACTTGTCTTTTTATACCCGTCTCGTCAGGGCATGCCAGCCCGTACTGGCAGATCAGCCCCACTGCAATGCCAAATATAGCTCAATGCAAATGAGCCTCTGTGCCTGGCAGTGAATCACTGATCTGGTTAGTCAGCCAATCGGTGACCTGGATCCCTGGCTGGCTGTTGCCAAGTGGGACTGCAGGCATGCATCATGCATGAGGGGAGGCCGGGGACAGGAGGTGAATGGCTGGCAGGCTGAACTCTTCTCATGTATATGCAGCCAGCAGGAAGTGGACTTGGCCTTGTGTGAATGGCTGGCAAATAGGATGCCATGAATATATACAGGATCTACCAGGAGTGGAGGGTCCTGATTGGCCAGGGCAAGTTTCTGGGAATAAACAGGGAAGTGGAAGCGCGGCCATTGGGGGAAGTGGTTGTACATCCTTTGTGCGTTTCATCTTATCTACTGCAAGCAGTATCAGTGATCCCATTTTATCATGAAAGTACACATTCATAAATAGTATACAGGCCTGTTACATATGGCTGCATGTTTCTCTACAGTCAGAACTTTCTTTGTCTATGACGAGTCTTTTAAAAGTGAAAACAAAAGCTTTACGGAGTAAAACAAAAGCCATCATCAAAAAAGTGAAAGTAGTAACAAAGTGAAGCCTACAACAACAACTACGAGAAACCAAAGCCAAATCTTTTACACAGTTTTCTCTTTTTTGTTCATTGTCATGTTTTCAAAGTAAATGTTTAAGGGGGCGGTGCTATCGAGGCTTTCAGTTATTCTAACCATCGTTCTGCTGAATCCAGCGATACCACCGTGAAAGCAAAGTTCTTTGGACAATGTCCATCTAAAATCAACACAGCACACTGGGAAAACCCTATGAGAACTCAGCTTTGAGATTAGAGTGTAGCTGGCAGGGACATAAAAGCTAATTAAAAGATTTGTTTCTAGTCACCCTCCATTTACATTGAGGAACTGATTTTTTAAATGTTAACCGTAACAGTTCTGAGTGCTACAAAGTACTACTTACATGTAGTAGTAAAATGTAGTACTCAGCCCTGTCGCTTGTAAGAGGACATGACATTATTATTCTCTGAAGACATAAAATACAATAGAGAAGACAATGTACCACATCGTGCTGTGGCACTATGAATGCATGGTTTCATTGTTCTCTGTACGAGTAACAACGGAATAAACCTAGCCAGAATCAGTAATTTGTAGCGCTAGGTCCTTCAGGCTCAGGGTGTTTCATAGTACATGTCTTTTGTAGTACTGGGTACTCTAAGCCAAACAACGCCCGGTACTGTTAGGGTTAATACTTGTTGTTTCTAAATAATATGTACTGGTACATATTATTTAAATACAACTTGGACCAAAGACGGTGACTTGTTTGGACTGGTTTATCAATGTCTTGCAGAATTTCGACAGGGCAGACCACCCCAGACGTGTATACTGGTATTCTCTATCCTGTAAATCCAAAGGGGCATCAGGCCACATCATGGAGATCAGCACTAGGTGGGATCTTATTTAATCTTCCAGAATTGCCCAACTCCTCCAGGGTTTTGGAGAATCCGTGAGGGTTAGGCGCAAGGGACATCAAGTAATTTGGATTTAAAGAAGATGGCACGGCAACTGTCATGCTATGAACCGCTTTCGGGTGGTATTCTTTCACAGGCAACAAATTCAACTTTCGAAAAGAGCAAGATGCAGTAGCCCACTGATGATACACAACCAAACACCACAAACAAATAGCACTTGTCCAAATTTCCAAAACTTTGGGGAGCCATCAAGAAGAGATAATGTAATGGCAACAACAGCAGGCTGTGTAGAGTGGCTATTCTCCCCCCCTCCCATACGCGAGAACTTTAGTTAGGACTGGAGGTAAGGCACGGTAGGTGTTTAGTGCTAGGCTTCTCTTGAAGTCCCCAGTACCAACATCTCTGGCGTGGAATAAGGAAAAACAAAAAATCAACTTACAGTCTGGATGCGGCCTCAGTCGAGCTCTCGTCCCCTTCGATTCTATACACAATGCCGTACATGACGTACTCAAAGCTGCTCGCCCTGGTGGGCGTACCATCGTCGAGGGGTGTGTACTCCCCGTCGTCAGGGTAACCATCTTCCCTCAATGTCGTGGCCAGAACCAGACGGAACTTGTCACCTGTTTTCAAAAGGCAAGAAGTAGTATACGTACATTTTGTACGACATACGTGTAGGGATGAAGAAGCTACAGTTGACATGGGCAGGAATTACAAGCGATTTAACCCTAACAGTACATAATACTGAAAACTGCTCCTTTGTGGTAAAATGTAATATATGGAACAGAGCTGTCGCTTGTAAGAGGACGTGACCTACTGTTCTCTGAAGCCATAAAATACACAATAGATAAGACAATGTACCATACAGTGCTCTGGCACTACGAATGCATGGCTTTATTGTTCTCTGTACGAGTGACAAAAGAAGTGCCCTAGCCAGAGGTAGTAATTTGTAGTGCTAGGTCCTTCAGGCTCAGAGTACTATGTACATGTAGTATTTTGTAGTACTGAGGCCTGAAAGCCAAATGATGTGCAGGACTGTTAGGGTTAACACAGATTCTCTCGGTGTGCACTCTCACAAAAATCATTAAAAGCACTGGGAATTCAGTTTTTATATCTGGGATTCTGAGCACTTTGACAGCGTACATGTACATGTACATGTAATGCAACTTGCAGAGCACACCAAGTCTTCAAGACCTAGTGTGACAAAACTCTTTGGATTTGCGGCAGTGGGACAAGAACCCACGACTTCCCACCGGTACTTGAAGTTACTGCCTGCCCCATCGGTGAAAGTCCCGGCAAAAAATTTCAATATCAAACAGCGATCTATGGGTACATCTCCCCAACTTGAAAATTCAATATGCAGTCAATTCAGTTACTCTTGCATCGTGTTTAGGATGGATCAACAAAATGTATTTATTGAAGCACTGACCATGTGCACAGATCTATGAAAAATTGTTGCAAGGTCATCACTAATCAATCGTGAGGTCATCACTAGTCAATCGTGAATTACATTCACATGTAACCAGTGCCAACTCAAGAAAACTGGGAATGTGCTGGATTTTCAAACATTCCATCAAACATCACATAATTTTAATAGTTATTTTTTAAATTGCTGGGACATAAAATGCACTGAAACACAAAATGGAAGTATTCATTTTTATATCTTGAAGGTATGTGAAGATAAGGTTTTAAAACAATAATGCCATAACTTCACAACTTGGCTACTTATACCACTACTTCAGCTCCCGCTTACCAATCAAACTTAGAATTTACCCTACACCCCTACTATATACATTGGCAACTGGACTTTTGTCTTCACAAAACACTTCTTGACACTTGCCAGGTTTAAAACACTCGAACGGGTAACATCTACTGCCGTTTGTACGTGTTTTCCTAATTTACCATTGCTTTGTTTCAGAATCTGTTTCTCTACTTTCCCAAATGTGTTCAGTAATTTCATTTCTAACGTATGTAAATATTGGTCATGTGGGAAACTGTGACAACCAAATATTTGGCCAAATATGAGTTCACATATATTCAAATACATGTATATTTGAACTTTATCAAACTGTTCAAATAAACTGTGACAATAAGGCGTTTCCCTTATCAGTGTTCATCCCCCGTCACTAAGCCCTACATGCACGGCAATTAGCAAACTTCGGACTTTGTGACAAACTTTCCCAGTGATGACACAGCTTGCGCCTGAAAAAAGAGAGAAAAAGACTTGACTTTTCGTAACAACTGTTTCACAATTATTGTTACAGTGTCACAAATTGGGACATTCACAATACATGTATTGTGCATTGGGCCTAACTGATGAATCCGTCCGGAACAATTCTGCTTAAAAATATCAGGAATTTTTGATGTGTAGTTGTCATGGTTGTGGGGACTAGACAAGTGTTGAAACACAGATGTTGTGGTCATAAAAAACATTATTGGGCCAATTTGTTCCCCCCCTAACTTGGTCTCAATTTTCCTCAAATAAAATTGTCCCCTCCGTGTACACAGGCAAGTTCAGACATGCATGTACATGTACGTACATGTACATTGTGCCAATTATGTTTAACTGTATAAGAGATGTAGCTTCTAATCACCCTATTGCATGTAGCAAGGAGACATTGCATAAATTTTTGGTTGTTTAAATCAGAATTCAGATGGTTAAAGACAGAAGGTGTTGACATGTTGTCGCTACAGCAAAATACATGCAGTGTTTTACTTTGTCACAAAAGTGGCCAACGAAAGTTCTTTGCATATCGCCGAGTTCTAGCAGGAGATGAGCACAAATTTCCATCACGCCTCTTCCCCGGATCAAAAGTGCAACGGGCAACTGAAACTCCATGTATATACATGTACATATACATGTAATGTAAGGCGAGCATGAGGGAAACCTTCGGCTAACATATGGCGTGACGGTGGGAAAAAGTGATTCTGACTGCGGTTTCGCTTTCTCATCGTACATGTACACGTGGGGCTGTGATAGCATGGCGATTGCAGGACAAGGAAATGAGTTCGAAACGACACAAGGCTGTAAAATTAAAGTTGCTAATGGGGTCAATCAGTGTGGTGTGCTTTCTCAAAAGTTCTTTTCTCACGCAGGATGTTTCTTTGTACTTGAATCATGCTTGTCTAGGTACATAGATAAAGGCATTCAAAATTAAATCTTATGGTCGCACTCCACTGTATATTTGCAATAAAAATTTATGTGACGGTATTTCAACACTATTAACTGTCTATACGTGTTATAATTTTACACCACAAAGGACTACACTGTGTGCAGGTGTGGCATACATGTACATAGTATGGACCCCTGCACAAAAGAGGTCCACGTTATGTAGGGTGCGATGGCATTGTGTGGACTTGCACACGTCCACACAATGTTCTCCCCTCTCTGAAAAACACTTTCAGAGGCATTTTGGGGTCAAGGTTATCTGTGGCAAATTAAAGAGGAACAGTCCAGGAGATCATCATCAAATAACCAGCTCCAAGGAGTTATTCCAGTTGTAGAAAAAGGAGCAGTTTCCTAAAGTTTCCTTAACCACAGGAGACCAAAGGAATGTCCCCACTTTGTATGTAAAACAGGTGTGTGTGACGATGAAAGTGTATCAGTTCAGGTCCGTGTGTTGAACATGCACACACATACATGATTTGTTTGTGACTGCTGTGTTTTTTTTTTTTTTAATATTTTTTATTACCGGGGTGTGGCGAGTGTTCCTTTTGACCCCTATTACGGTTGCCAGCAGCTACAAATCTACATGCAATGTCCCACATGTGTGTGTGCTGGGAATACACTCTCACACACCAGTAGGTGACGTTGACTTTTTTTAAGCGGAATCACTTCAGTTTGAGATCACACCCTAAAAACTGAGCCAAAGAGCTTCCTGTCTGGGATGATGATGATGGTAAGAATAGGGATCTAAATGTACATGTATCACGATACTACCTCATGATTGGTAAAATACACAGCTAGTGGTCCACAGGAAGGCTTACACGCTTTGTACACTTGTACATGTACGATGTACATGTATATTTGAAGTGGAGGTACTGAACATGAATGACTTTATAAGGTACAATGTACATGTATCTCACATACATGTACAGTATTAGGAATGTGGTTTTTCGATTAAGAAAATCTGAACTGTTTACGCTTAAGCAGTACATTCTCTAGAAGGGTTAAACTGGGGAAATGGTGAGGGTATTTGAGAAATTTAAAGTTCGTCAAATATTGGTGCTTGCCCGACAGGAGTTGAAAAAAAGTGCGTGTAGTGCTTGCTCATGAACATCCTGTGGGTTGAAAATTCTTTGAAAATCTGGTCACAAGTTAGAGGTTGAATAATAAAAAAGGAATATTTCTTGTGACAACACAGCTGGATTGACTTGTGGATTGAATTGGGATGGGCTTTTTTGTGGATTCATAAAAGACATGAAGGACTGTTGACAGACTTGACTACACCACTCGACTGAATTTTGGATGCTTTCCACTGACCACAAAATGTTGCTCATCAACAAATTGATGCCGAGTGGTTATGTGACATTGAAAGCAGGTACGGGTAGGGTCTCATCTGATGAACCATTAATCCATCCTTTGGGGCGGCAAAACATGATATTGGGCAGGTACATGTACATGTACTCTGCTATAAACCATATGCAAATATGCATATACATTTAAATACCGGTATGTGTCATTGAGTTCAAAATGGCAGACAGATGTTGAAATCATTGCTCAAAAGTGAAGTATTTTTCAGTGCTGCAGTGGCGTCAAGTTGAATGAAACCGGCACGGCACCTTTCCACAGAGATGAAAAATATGCACAAAAGCCCACTGGAAACCCACACACATTTCAGGGTTCCAACAGCATGCTGTATTACATGTGTACAATGAGCATGAACCGACCAAGACCTCAGGAAAATTTAGAAAATGTACGGTACAAGAAGACATGACAAAATGTCGGGTCATTACAGTAAAACTTACATTTTTGAAAATACTCTTGGGGCCTTTACTCTGAGCATCAAGGAAATGTTGTATTAAAACAGACAACATTTGCTTTACTTTTATTTCTTAAACTAGTGTTCTGGGGCCAATATAATAACATTGTAAATTTCAACAAAGCCTCTTGCCCAATTTTTATCTGTAAGTATTTTCAGTCAAGACATTTTCGCACTGACACAACGAAAATATCAGTAGTTTACCCGGGGTGCAAAATCAATGCCCAAATAAAAATGTTGAGAAAAGTACAGCTGGGCTAAAAATAAAAAAGTCCCTGTTCTGTGTAAATACGAGTACATGTAGCTTGACAAGAACATCGTATACATCAAACTGTCACTGGGGAAGGGCAGGGGGAGAAGAGGAAGGAGGGCCTAGAAGGGGGTGCCCCCTTGAGAGGCTGTGCCCAATAACCGAGTATTCCATCGATTATTGAATATTATTTTCTCGAAATATTTGAATGCAAAATTCATGAAAAGGGAGGGATAATTTTCTTTTGTTTTACATAAGAAAAATTGCACTATGGAGGCTTGCTCCAAATAGATTCAAATGGAAAGCCACAGAAACATTACAGAGATTCAAGATGTAAGTAATTCATTAAAAAGTGAATAACAATTTTAGCAGGAAAAAAGTCTTATTTGTCTCCTAAATCTTGCTAAATTGTGGCCGGAGATATTCTTAGATGTGAGAAGCTATTATAGTGATTTTAATGTACAACTGTGTGCATTGTTGCAACTGATTTTGTTCCTCAACAATCTGCCAGTCGGTAAGACCGAATATTTGTATATTCGATCGAATTGAAGGTTGAGTATTCAAATATTGAATTACTCAAATTGACTCAGCCCTACCCCCTTGAAGCAACCCCTCCCCTCCATCCAATCAGCAATACACCATGCACTGCCTTAGCTGGTACTGGGCCCTCCCCCCCATGCTAAAAGCCGGCAACAGGGCCAGTGCAACTTGGGCCAGGGCTGGGCAGGCAGTTGAGGAAAGGCCGGCGAGGGGACAGGCACTTTTTGAAATCCTAGATGAAACAGACACAGGACACTCCTCTAATTTCTTTTGTCCAAGGTTTCGGGTTGTTTTACCACATACAGGACGTTCCGTCAACCTTTTGCTCACCCTTCCACCAAAGGGTGACTGCAAAGGGAAACACACACACACACACACACAAACTATTAAAACAAAAGAATGAAACCAGGAAGTTCAGATCTGAAAATGCTGTTTGATATCCCTGGTAATGCAGCGGGAAGGAAAACCACAGGACATGCAGGAGCAGGACTGATAAGGGAATCAAATTACCAAAGTGTGCACTTCAGTGTAAAAAAAAAGGAAAGAGTTTTGGGGAGAGACAACCTGGATGTAAAACCCATGATGCCAAAGAGGACCAACATTCTTACGGCTTTTGCAGCGGGCAGCCAAAAAAAAAAATCAATGGTTCGGTACGGAGGCATGGAGGATTTCAAGGGGTAAACAAGCCCGGGCTGGAAGCCTACCGTGTGATCTGTTTGACAAACCTGAAAATGTCAACTAGATTTCACTATTTCATTGGCAGGACTAATTAACATAAACATGACCACAAGCAACATCCTGTAGGCTCATAACAGAGAGGGACGAGTCTGAGCATTGCATGCACTGTTGATTTTTATGATGCACATGAATCGGTATGCAAACTGAGGTTTCCAAATAATCATGAACTTTTTGATTGCTAAAATTTCTTCTAACTGCCCAAAACCTGCCATACTCCAACAGCAGGTTTTGTGAGGTTTTGGCAGGTTTGTTACCATACCTGAGGAACTTGTTGTTGAATTTTGTGAGACTTAGAATGAAAGGCCCAGGAAGATGGTGTTGGATTCTGTGTCAGTTGGGACACAC